CCCAGTGTCCGTGTGAGCCTCTTGGTGTTTTCCTCCGTTGAATCAATGTCTGGTGGTAGGTGAAATCTCTTATCTTTATCCCAGATGAGGCAGGAATAGAAGGAAGCAGACTGGTTTCTTTGCTTGTTACAGGGTTATTACATGAGAGAATCCAGTTTTCTTTTATTGTGGTGAAATACCACTTGAAAAAATTAGCACGTGACTATTATTAATTTTAAAGATTGATTTATTCGAAAGTCAGAGTTGCAGAGAAAAAGGAGAGATCTGCTAGCTCACTCGCCCAGCTGGCTGCAATGGACAGAAGCTGGGAGCAAGAAGCTTCCTCTGAATGTCCCACATGGATGCGGGGGGTTGGGAGTAGGCATCTTCCATTGTTTTCTCAAGCCCACTAGCAGGGAGCTGCATCAGAAATGGAACAGCTGGGATTTAAGACAGTGCCCATATGGGATACCGCTGCTGCAGGCAGCAGCTTAACGCACTGTGCCACAGCGCTGGCCCCAGCTCAATTTTTTTTTAAGTGTACATACCTCAGTGACAATAAGGACATTCATGTTGTGATACAACCGTCCTTCTGTCTCCAGGATAATACAAACTCTATTCTTACTAAACAGTAAGGCCCTGTTTCCCCTTTTCCCCGGCTCCTGCTCCCATCCAGTCTACTTTCTGTCTCTGTGAATTTACTGTTCCAGGTATCCTATTGAGGTAGAATCATATGATATGTGTCGTTGTGTGATTGGCTGATTTTAACAAACATAATGAGCTCCTTCACGGTTTTGCATATGTTAGACTTTCTTTCTCAGACAGAAAAATACTCCATTGTGTGACCCGCCCATTCACCTGTCGAGGGACTTTTGGGTTTTTTCCATCTTGTGGGTCCTGTGACTAAGGCTGCAGTGAACATTGCTGAGTCCCTGCCTGCAGTTCTTAGAGTTCATTCATAGAAGTGGGCTTGTTGAGAACGTTTGGAGAATGGTCTGGCACACTAGCAGTATGTCTTCGCTTCTCTCCAGAAGTATGGTAAAGTAATAATCCCCAGCCTAATAAACATAATGTTGCAACTTTAGGAGTCTTAAACAACCTGAAAGAGACGTTTACGCATACGCCGAGTTATGACATGAGCCCCGCCATGCTCAGCGTGCTGGTCAAAATGATGCTCGCACAGGCCCAGGAGTGCGTGTTTGAGAAGATCAGTCTGGCTGGCATCCGGAATGAGTTCTTCGCGCTGGTCAAGGTGGCTCAGGAGGCAGCCAAGGTGAGACTCCCTGGCTTGGCAGCTCCTGGAGCTGAGCAGGATACGCTGGAGTTGCAGGTGCTCTGCAAGCAGGAGGCACCTCCCTGGCTGCTGCTCACCCATGACCTGGGCAGTGTGCCTGCCCCAGCTGGGGCTGCTGCCGCCCTGCATGTTCTTGGCGGCCGTCAGTATTCCTGATACGGATCCTTGCTTCCGACTGCAGTTCAGCCTAAGATCAGTGTGATGGTGGTTGTCTCAGTCCTTTGCTGGCACTGTTACTGACAGCATGCGGAGTTGCTTGGAACTGTTCCCAGGCAGAGGCTGCTGGGTAGAAGAAATGGTCCTCACCTGAGTTGGGTTTGTGAAGGGCCCTGTGCCAGGCTCCCCCTCCCCAGCATCCCTTCTGTTTCAGGTGGGAGAGGTCTACCAGCAGCTGCACACGGCCATGAGCCAGGCACCTGTGAAAGAGAACATCCCCTACTCCTGGGCCAGCGTGGCCCGAGTGAAGGCTCACCACTACGGGGCCCTGGCCCACTACTTCTCTGCCACCCTCCTCATCGACCACCAGCGTAAGGCTTGGGAGCTTGCGGCAGCGGGGTTGGTTAGGTTGGGATTCTGGCTGGACTGAATGGGAGTGGCCTGGCTGCCCTGGTGAGGCTCATTGCATGGGGGCAGAGGCTGGGAGTGACACGCTGACTAGGGCAGCTGCCACACAGGCCAGGATGAGATGAGGATTTAATGACGGAAGGGTGGTGGTCATTCTCTACCAGGGATTAGACAGGTAACTTTTCATTTGAAATCTGGAAACTAAAGGGATACCCAAAACTCAGGAATCAAGGTGAATGGCATTTTAAAGTAATATTTTACAAGAATTAAAACTAATGCATAAAATCTGTGTTCATAAAGAATTTCAAACAAGACAAGAAATATTACTAATCTGCTCATTAGAGCGCAAGGCAAAATGAAATTTTGATGTTTATTCACAGAATTTTTTTTTGCAATAATTTTGATGTATTTTAAATTGCATTAAAATCTTGTTTGCGGAGTTTTTGGCATCAATTGAACGCTTGATACTGAGCCCAGTGACTCATTGACCCTGCCCAGGTCTAGGGATTGGATGGGATTTGGGGTGGTTATGCTAATTAGCGCAGTCCCAGAGTAGTTAGAAGGTTCTGGAGCCACATGGTTTCCATTCAAAGCTGTGTGACCTTGGCTAGGTTGTGTAGCTGTTCTGTGCTCCAGTTTTGCCATCTGCACAGTGGGACCTCTAGGAGAAGCTGCCCCGCAGCAGGACGGTAGCTGTGTGCAAAGCTACACAGTGCCTGAGGTTGGCTGTCTCAGACTGAGCGCTATGTCATCTTGCAGGGAGGACAAGACGCAGGCCTCCAAAAAGATTGTGCAAAAATGCACCTTCCAAAGGACACGCTGTGTGGGTCCCAAGGGTTTTTTTTTTGGTTTATTTTTTGCACCAAAATAAACATCTTGAATTGAACCTTCCATGAACTCTGGATTTTCTTCCATTGCGAACAAATCGGGAGTGTAGTATCTTGATCTTGATGACTGCTGCGAGACACAAATGAGGCAGCAGTTGGTCCCGTGGCGTAGTCATGGATGGTTTCTCAGAGGTAGTGACATTCACTGTGGACTTGGCCAGCTGAGTATATTGGGAAAGGACAGCTAAGAGCAAATGTGGGGTCTGAGTGAGAGGACAGAAGCCGGGGCCATTGGGTTGTGGATTGGTGAGGTTGCAAAGCGGACTGTGCACCAGGAAGGCTGGGGAGAAGTGCTGTTCTCAATGTGGTTGGGACAGAGGCAGGGCTGTCTGAGGCGTTCTGTGTACTGGGAGACTTGGAGGAAGTTGTGAGGAATCGGGACCCGCTCCTGAGCCCCTGGGGTATGGCCAGCCCTGAGTGAGCAAAGGCTGGGACCCTGATTGCTGACCAGAAAGAAAGTACAATATGGTGACTGTGTCGTGAAAATGAGACCACAGGAACCTGGAGGTGTGGCCGACAAAGCGGACACTAAGTGGATCTCTGGCGCCATCTTCAGAGGCCACGGTCATGAGAGGGGATTTAACCCATGGCTTTCATTGCAGTGAAGCCTGGCACGGACATGGACCACCAGGAGAAGTGCCTGTCCCAGCTCTACCACCACATGCCAGAGGGGCTGACGCCCTTGGCCACACTGAAAAATGACCAGCAGCGCCGACAGCTCGGTAGGTGCCCCACTTTATGCCAGCTCGTGCTGCTCATGGACAGCCCTGATCTCCTGGCATAGCAGGGCTTCCAGAGCCATGTTCTTGGGGTGCTCTGAGAGTGCCAGGCCTCCCAGTGGTTCACTAGTGGCCTCTGCTGTCCTCATGTGGGAGGACACGGTGCCACTGCTTTGTCACCAGGAACACTTAAGGACTGGTGATAAATTATCCTGGTGTGGTCCCTACTGTGTTTCAGTGTCCTTCCTTATGCAAACCCAGCTTCCTCCAGCCCCTCCACCTGCCCACCCACGTGGATTCCCTGTGTCTGTGTCTGCATCTCCATTCCCTTAGGTGCATAATCCAGAAACCTTAGACTCTTCCCTGGTCTCTCTTAGCCCCACTCACCCCACCTGGAAGGCGTACACCAAGTCCAACCCATGGGTGCTCCCTGGGGACGGGTGTGCTACAGTCCTCTTCCTGCAGCTGATGGAGTAGCCATGCAGCAGGCCCTGCTCATAACTGGCCTTCCTGTTTCCCTCTCCTTTCAGAGTCTGACTGCTCTCTGCTCACTCCCTCCCGGTCTCCCTTCTCACAGAGTCCTGATCCCACACTGATGAGCTCAGACATGAGCTGCCTTCTCCCCACTCCGTCTGACCTCGTTCCCTATCCTGTCGCCTTCCAGCCACATTCCTCCTCATCCTTTGGACTCCAAAGCCTGCTGCTGCTGCTGCAGGGCGCTGACCCTCGCTGCCGCTCCTTTCAGAAATGCTCTTCTGTCGCTTCCCTTCAACTGCTCCTGTACTTCCTCCAGCGCAAAAGGCTTCCCTGCTCCCCATCACAGACAAGCTACTCCCATTGCCACAGCCTTCTCCTGCCTCCATAGCCTCACCTGGTCCCCCGAGGTATCTGCTTGTCAGCCCCTAGCGTGCAAATCTCCATCAGGAGGGGCACCTTTTGGTGCATCAATATCCCCTGGGGCATATGGCAGGTAGCTGATGATGACCATTCTGTGGCCACTAGGAAGCATATGGCACATGCATTTCCGGGCCAGTCCTGGAGAAAGCAGAAGGTCCCCCTCCTTGAGCTGACCCCTCATGCCCTTGCACAGTGCCCGATCCACTCACACCATGACCCGGGTGGTGGTTTTCCATCTGCAGGAAAGTCACACCTGCTCAAAGCCATCACCCTCCACGAGGAATCGGTGAGAGAGGCCAGCCTGTGCAAGAAGCTGCGCAACATCGAGGTGCTGCAGGAAGTGCTGTCAGTGGCACACCAGCGCTCCCGGCTCAAGTACGCCCAGTACCAAGAGGACGATGACCTCCTGACCCTTGTCGACGCTCCTGACATTATTTGTGAGTGACCCAGGCTGGTTGCTGTGGTGTGGGTACCTGTGTTGGATGCAGCGTATGCCCCACGTGAGAGGCAGGGGTGTGCTTAGCTGGACCCCGACTGCATCTGCTGCATGTATGTTGGGCACTGGGAGGGCCATACTGGGACCTGGGTGCTGTGCCCACCCTGGGAGTTTTCTCTTCCAATTCCTAACATTGGAGGTTTTCATCTTCATTGACATGCTGCAGCATCTGATCACTTCCTGCCCTCACTCCTCCTCTAGGCACCTGCCTTCCTATACCTGTCCTCATCTGCTTGCCTGCACCCAAGCTCCTTCTGGGAAGCCCTTTGCTGACTGTTCTTGAGCAGTTCCATCTAGCACCCTAGTATTTTCTAGGGAGTTACTCTCTCCAGTGTGCTCGCTGCAAATCCCTCTCTATGGGATCTCATGGCGTGGTGGGGTTCAGCCATTGCTGAGTCAGGAGTCCCCTGATGTCCTTGCCTAAGTCCCGCAGCCCGGACGTGTCCCACTGCCTTCTGGGAAGCTGCCTTTGACCTCTCACTTCCTACTTTGAAAGCAAAGGTGTCACAATTCCCTCTCCTGCACTTGTTCTTCGTCCCCTTTGCTCCCTCTTTGGTCACCACCTCTTCTAATCATGTCCCAGGCTGCATGTGCTGTTGGGTGTGAGGTGAGAGTCAGGGATGCAGTGGTGAACTGGGCAGTGTGTGCTGTCCTGGGGGAGGTGGTAGTCACTGCAGCCGGGGGACTTTCCCCAAAAAGGTGGCTTTGCAGTGAGGCATGACTAAGGCTTTTCCAGAAATTAGGGAGGGGAAGGAGAGAGGACTGCTCAGTCAAGGGAACCCCCTGTGTGCAAAGCCCCCTGAAGATGTAGTTTGAAAACTGAATTCAAACTCCATTTCTCAAATGGAGCACTCACTGCACAGTGATCTTCAGACACAAGTTGTGTGGGGTTTTTCCCCCACACACCAGCTAGCATGTGGGTCTGCAGTGGGCACCAGGTGGCAGCCATCCTCTAGTCTGACTCAGAGCTGGCACTGGGCAGCTGGAGACAGCTTCAGATTCGTCTGGCTGGGGGCTCGGCTCCCCTGACTGAGCATCCCAGCCCCACCCTGCATGGCCTCTGCTTCTTTGCTCGGGACCGATGGGCTGTGAATTGGAGATTCCCACAGTCCCCTCTCTGAGTTTGATTTGTTTGCTGGAGCAGTTCACAGGACTCCAGGAAACACATTTGGCAGACTGTAGTTGTGAATCTTGCACAGGATACAGAGGAAGAGGTGTGTAGGGCGTGGTGTGGGGAGCCGTGTTGGGGGCTTCCAGGCCTACCGCCATCGCTCCTGCCCCTGTGTGCTACGCTCCAGAAGGTCTCTGAACCCTGACCTTTGGCGTTCTGATGGAGATTTCGCTGCACAAGCACAACTGAAGCACGGACAACCATGCAGAATTGTGATGAGAGAGAAGGGGGCTGGGCTAATGCTGCACTCAGCATGGGTTTACTCAATTGGCCTGTCTGTCCAGACTCTCCTTGGCCTCTCATTGGTACTGCTGCTGCCTCCTCCCAGGTATAGGGCAGAACCTTCTGGAAGAACGAGGAGGGTCTTAATGACCTTCTCTTGGCAAAGCTTGATTAGAGCATCTTTCTGGCTGGCACCCAACAAAAAAGGTGGGGGCAAGTTAACAGGTTCTGTGACTGTCTTCAGGGAAGGGAAACCCTAGGTTCTATGACCTGCATTGGGGGAAATTCTTAGCTAGGAACTGGACAAAACCCTCTCTTACTTACTTCCTCTCGCCTGCTTCCTACCCCTTTGTGTCCATCTTTGGTGTCCCATTCTGGAAAATTTTCAGGGAACAGCTTAGAGATAGCCCTGCTCTAGCTAGAATCCCAGATGTTAGCCATTTGATGTTGGCATTGTTAGCCAAACATTTGGGATCTGCTGGGTGCCTCAGTTGGCACAATCTGTGTACAGAATTTCCCCATGCTGAGGGAGGTCCTGGTATTTCCTCAGCTAACCAGATGAAGGCTTAGGGGGATCCAGGATCCTGCCTCAGATGACCACGTGGGTAGGTAGCAACAGGAATGGTGTTCACTAATACAGAGTTGGGTGACATGCATAGTTCCAGCAGCAGATGAGCACCTATCTGGACCCAGCCTGTGTTTGGTGGCTTGTTAAACACACAAAGCATTGTCTTGCGGGTAGAAGGCTGTGATGGTCTTGGTGGTACTGCTGATCCTCCCTTTACTTGCCTTGTGCACTGCTATTCCCATACAGTCAGCCAGCTCTGGGACCCTGTGTGAGTCAGCAACGGCCTTCAGGTTAGAGTGAGCCACAACTTGCAGGGGAGATGCTATGGAGAATCTACACTACTGCTGGATATGACTTCACAAACCCAGTACTCACTGTGTGGCCTTATATATCAGAGGTGACTATTACACACAGGGAAGCACCTTGTGCCCCAGGCTTACGTGCACCCAGGGGCAATACCTTCCTTAACAGTCATGCCCAGGAGGGTTTTGTGAGGGCTAAAGGAAATTGATTGGAATATCAGAAAGCTTCTCTGACATATGGAGAAGGTGTCTGGTCAACACTCCTGTGTTCCAGCCTCAGGACAAGTTGTGGCTCATTCCCAGGTGGCAGGTAGCATTCGTGCCTGCCAGGGGTTGAACACTGCTCCATCCTCTGTACTAGATCTGTCTAGAACCGAGGGTGGGGAACCTCTGTCTGGCCAGGGGCCACTTGGATGGTAATGAGATTCCATGTGTGCCACACTCAATTTCCAACTTAAAAACAAGCCGCCTGGTGTAGATGTGTTGAATCTCAGGTTCCTCCTGTGGATTCCTGAGCAGAACCAGAAGGCAGGCTGCCCCGGGCCAGATGCTCCCACCCCAAGGCTGGACTAAGAAGGAGGACAGGTGACACAGAAAGTCCTGATTCCTTGTCCCAGTACAGAGCTGACTAGAGACCTGAGCTTTCCAGGCTCGCTGTCAGTCACAGAAACATTTATCCTTCGGCTCTTGGTCTGCTTTTTTGTAGCTAAGACCCAGCAAGAGGTTGAAGTCATATTGCCCCAGTTCTCCAAGGTGACAGTGACGGACTTCTTTCAAAAGCTGGTATGTTGGATGCTTACTTTATGAATGGCCTTAGGGGAAAACTCTAAAAAGTTTGGAGAAAGTTGCTTCAGTCAATGTGGGCTGCTTTCACCAAGAATATGTGCGCGAGGTAGTTCATGAGCAGCTGTCATTCATTGGCCAGAGTTCTGGAGCCTGGGGAGCCCCAGGTCGAGTCGCTGACAGGTTTCGCATTTGCAGAGGGCCTGCCTTGTGGCTCCCCGATCTACCTTCTCTTCATGTGGTAGAAGCAGATGAGCTACTAGAAGCTTCTCTTCTTTGTTTTCATCTTTTTTGGGGGTTAAGTTTATTTATAAAAAACAAGTAGATTCACATGTTTTGCAATGCAGATTTAAAAGCATTGGGGTTCTTCTCTTTCTTCTCCCCCTCCTCCATCCTTTTCTCCCTCCCCATTACTATTTTTCCCCAAATTATTACAATGGCATATTTATTCAATTCAGCGGAACATGTTTAACTTTCCAATATATAAAGGTATTATGACATAGTAAGTAGAAAAAAAAGCATAAAATAAAAGTGGAAATTCTCCTGTAATTCAGGACTATAGACATAGGCTGTCCACAAGTTAATTTTTAGTATGATTAATAATCTTAGAGATTCCTTTGTGTGTGTGCTCAGTGTATATTAGTCGTCGCAAATCAGAGAAAGCAAATTTATTTTTTGGAGACTGGCTTATTTCACTAAGCGTATTTGTTTCCAGCTGGATCCATTTTTTGCAAAAAATAAGATTTCATTGTTTTTTATGGCTAAGTAGTATTCCGTGTGTGTGTGTGTGTGTGTGTGTGTGTGTGTGTGTGTGTTTCTCCAATCATCAGTTGATAGACTACTGGGTTGGTTACATATCTTAGTTATTGTGAATTGTCCTGCTATAAACATGGGGTTATAGTAACTCGCTCATATGCAGATCTCATTTCATTTGGATTGTTTCCCACGAGTGGGATGGCTGCTGGGGCATATGGTAAATCTGTTTTCAGGTTTCTGGGAAATCTGCATAACTGTTTTCAATGGTTGCCCTGGTTAACATTCCCACCAGTAGTTGATCAGGGTACCTTTTCCTTGCACCCTCACTAGCACTTACTGTTTTAGCTTTCTGCATGATAATCATTTTCACTGACTGTGCTTTATATTTGCATTTGGGAGCTTCTTTTCTAAAAAGTCATGCCTCTCACGCATGAGGGTGAACCCTCATCACCTCCAAGGAATCTCTGGTTTCAGCAGAAGCATTTTGGAGGGGACACATTCAGACATCCTCCCCAGGCCCTGGCTCACGGATCGTGTCCAGAACACATACTGCAGGACTGCCTGCTGCCGCTGTGTTGAGGTGCCCAGGATTGGGCCTGCCTGTCCAGGCAGGGAGGGCAATTAGGAGTGCAGGCATAGTCTTCCCAGCACTCATCAAAAGCAATTGATGTCTATAGAATGTCTTCGAGAGCGTGGTGGTTAAAGTTGTTGTATGGCTGTTGTGCATGTGTTAACCCACATGCTGTCATCAGTCCCTGAACAAGGCCATGAGGCCCTCAGAGACACCAGGCAGAAGTCCCTTAGCGTTCACTTGTCTGCTTCAACCTGCAAATCCTGCAGCTCATAATGCTGTCTTCCTCAGGGGCCCCTGTCCGTGTTTTCAGCCAACAAGAGGTGGACGCCTCCTCGAAGCATTCGCTTCACCCCAGAAGAAGGGGACCTGGGATTCACCTTGAGAGGGAATGCCCCTGTTCAGGTCCACTTCCTGGATCCCCAGTGCTCTGCTGCGGTAAGTGGGCACCTTTTTATGTTGGGCACGTGTGTTCACTGGCAGCTTTGCAGAGTTGGGCTGGGAGATAAAAAGGAAGCAGCCCAATCCATGTATATATATGTGTGTGTGTGTGTGTGTGTGTGTGTGTGAGTGTCGCTGGGAGGAAGGTGGTTCAATTTGGGGTTCATCTGTGTTAGAGGCCTGGCTTTATGCAAAAGGACTCATAGATGCTATGTCCAAACAAATAAAGGGTTACGTTTTGGCGCCGTTGAAGCAAATTTATGCAAACTCCCACTGTACTCATGAGTTTACTTTCTCTGTTGTTCTGCTTTTTAAATAAAGAAAAATGAATAAATAAAAATAAATAATGATTTTTTTTCTTGTGGTGGGGGATAGCTGGCAGGAGCCAAGGAAGGAGACTATATCGTTTCCATTCAAGCCGTGGATTGTAAGTGGCTGACCGTGAGCGAGGTTATGAAGCTGCTGAAGGGCTTTGGCGAGGAAGAGATTGAGATGAAGGTTGTGAGCATGCTGGACTCCATGTCATCCATGGTGAGTGCTGGGGAAGCCCTCACCCTGGCAGTGAATGCTGGTACAGACTGAGACCATGTCAGTTCACCCGCCGAGGGTGTGGGACGCAAGACTAAACTCAAGCTTGTCGTCACTGAAATGCGCTCCCTTGGAGTCACAGACATGACCAGAGAATGTCTCTTTTTGTAACCCTGGAGGCAAAATGCTTAGTTGATTGATCTGTTTTTCTGGTTGGATTTTGCTTTATTACCGAAGTGTCCCCCTCTGTATCCCACAACTGTTTCCTGTGAGATCTTTGCAGGTATTTGATCCTCTGCAAGTTCATGTGCCCAGCGGCATCCTTTACTGTTTCCAGCATGGGAGGAATCAGGCTGTAGGTTCTGCACTTCTGCACTTTGCCACCCTTAGATATCATCTGTGCTGTTCCCTAGGCACTGCCCTGTATAACGACATTCGTGTTGATTCATTCAGCAAATATTGATTGGGCATCAGCTGTGTGCCAGACACCCTTGGGCTTTGGAGTTCCAACCTGGACTAGCCAGTTGAAATCCCTGCCCCCAGTGAAGCTGATGCTAAATCAACAAAGAAATAGAGGTGCTTTTTGACAGGTGCACAAGGAAAGAATGTGATGGAGGAGGATGCCTGCGGCTGAGGGGGCATGGGATGGGAAGGAAGGCTCTGAGATAGGAGTGGTGAGAAAGAAGGGAGCCTACTGAACAGGGAGAAGGGCAACTGTGAGACACAGGGACCCTGGGACAGGAGAGTTTCTGGAGAAGTTAAAAGGAGGGCTTCCAGGGAGGGGAGGGCAGGCAATGTGTCATTAGCAGTGCTGGGCTGTGGAGGCCATCGAGCTGTGTAAGAAGGGAGCTGGCGTCTGGTTCTTCTGTCTGGAGGCTGGCTGTGGTGGTTGCCCAACCTGGTGCTGTTGATGGCTGAGACTAGGAATGGCAGAGAGAGGTGGATGCACCTGAGGTGCCATTAGGAGATAGAGCTGGCAACAATTTACATAAAAAGATGGTCAACAGGGAGAGCCTGCTCCAGTGCTTGGCTTGAACCTCTGCATTCATTCATAATTGGGCAGGGAAAGCCCGTGTTGGAGCGAAAGGGGGAAGAAGGGGAAGGAGAGATCCAACCAGAGTTGTGCTCTGGGCATTTCTGATGCCGTCGGCCACTCTGGTGTCACTGTGGAATAGGCAGTGGGGCGTTCAGATCTTCAGGGCGAGAAGAGAGAGTCGTCAGCATAGAGATGATACTGAAACCTGGGGGATGAAGTAGAATCACCTATGAAGCAGCAAATGATAAAACCCAAGTTTCCTCAGATGTCCTACTTGAACCCACATACCTAATCCTTTCCAAGTTTGTAGGGCATGTTGTGATGGGGCAAGTTTCAGTTAGGGAAGAATAGAATTCCAGAGGTGGATGGTGGTAGTGGCTACACAACAGTATCTGTGCCTAACACCATGGAACTGTGCACTGAAAATAGCTAAATTGGCTTCATGCATTTTGCCACAATTGTTTTACAAATAGGGGGAAGTTAATATCTTCCCCAAGGATTCTGTGTTGTCTTTAAAGAGAATGAGCTTGATCTGTACCACACTGATGTGGGCTGATATCCAATGCTAAGCAAAGAAAGCAGAGAGCAGATCGTGTGTAGTTTTTTTGTTTTTGTTTTTGTTTTTTTTTAGTATTTTCTTTTTTATGACACATGGTGATACTAGCATTGTGACACAGTGGGTCAAGCTGCCACCTGGAATAATGGCATTCCATGAGTGCCAGTTTGAGTCTCTGCTGCTCCACTTCTTTTATATATTTTTTTCTTTATTATTATTTTATTTTGATCTTTACATTGTTGATTATAATGCAAAGGGTCAAGGGCTACAGGAAAGTAGGTAAGATCATTGTTTCCACATTCTCTTTTTTGCTTCCTGTATCTGGGGGAAGGGGAGAGATAAAGGGAGAAGCCACACTCAGCCTCCCAACCATCCCAGGGTCCCCGATGCTCTGAGGGTCCTCCTACTCAGGTAGTTTCGATAGTTCAACAGTTCTGAGTTGCTGCCAGCCTTGCCATTCCAAGCACAATAAAATCTCTTCAGAATCCACTGTCTGACATAGTCCACCATAGAGTTTCCGTTTGCCCAGATTTTTGCTGCCAACACTTGGCTGGGGTAGTTGATTGATTTGTTCTGTCCTCTGTCATGGTACCAGATGTCCTCTGCAGGTTCCAATGTACTGCCATATCCTCCATGTCTACTGCTCTGTCTGAGCCACTGAAGAGGCCCAGCCCTGACACATGCACTCCATGGTCAGACCATGGATCTTGCAATTCTCTTCATGGCTGGGGTTCTGAGTCCAGCAGTTCAGTTTCGGGGGGTCTCCAAAGAGGCTTTGTCTGAGATGATCCCAGATCTTATTCTTGTATGTGTTTGCCAGTACAGGATCTGGCACAGTCTGTCGCCCCAATCAGCTTATGCACATGCTGGTGGTTGCAATTGCTGGGTCAGTTCTGCCTCCAGCCCTGTCTTCTACACAAACCAGTGGGTGTTGGAGCCCAGCCCAATCCTGCCCACCACACGCATTTGCCCTCATGGAAACCAGTGGGAGCTGCAGCCTAGTCGGTTGCTGCTCCATTTCTGACCCAGCTCCCTGCTAAGGCATCTGGGAAAACAAGGGAAGATGGTCCAAGTACTTGGACCTCTGCACCCACATGGGAGACCTTGATGGAGTTCCTGGCTCCTGTCTGGCCCAGCCTTATCCGTTGTAGTCACTGGGGAGTGAAACAGCAGATGAATGATGGAACAATTTCTTTTTCACTCTGCCTTTTAAATATTTTTTTTAAGATTTATTTTTATTGGTAAATCAGATTTACAGAGAAGGAGAGAAAATCTTCCATACACTGGTTCACTCCCTAAGCAGCCACAACAGCCGGAGCTCTGCCGATCCAAAGGCAGGAGCCAGGAGTCTCTTCAGATCTCCTATGCGGGTGCAGGGTCCCAAAGCTTTGGACCATCCTCTGATACTTTCCCAGGCCACAAACAGGGAATTGAATTGGAAGTGGGGCTGCTGGTACACAAATTGGCAGCTAGATAGGATCGTGGTCCATGCAAGGTGAGGACTTTAGCCACTAGGGCTACCGCACCGGGCCCCCTTTAAATAAATTTTAGGAATAAAAAATGAAGAACAGTCAAGTGTACTTACATTCTTGTATATGCGCATTACTTTAGAAACACAGCCCTTAGGTCAGAGGAAGGGCCTGGAAACCAAGGTACTGTTCACTGTGTTTCATTACTGTGTGGAAACATACTTTGAAATGTTCGTGGAAACTAGAATTAAAAGTTTTATTTTCCTGCAGAAATGGCTTGAGGCATGCATAGTTTTCTCCTGAGAAGCATCCTTCACGACAGTTCTTAAGGCCTGTCTCTTACGGGATTTCAACTTTTTTTGCACTGAAACAAGTGTACCTTTGAAATCCATTTCTTGTAAACTTTCTGAAGTCCCATCGTGCATCTCTAATACCCTCTTTGTTCCTTTTCTCCACGCAGCACAATAAATGTGCCACGTACTCCGTGGGAATGCAAAAGACTTACTCCATGATCTGCTTAGCCATCGATGACGATGATAAAACTGACAAAAGCAAGAAAATCTCAAAAAAGCTTTCCTTTTTGAGTTGGGGCACCAACAAGAACAGACAGAAGTCAGCCAGTACCCTGTGCCTCCCGTCCGTTGGGGTGGCCAGGCCTCAGATCAAGAAGAAGCTTCCCACTCCCTTCAGCCTCCTCAGCTCCGACAGCTTTCTCTACTAACGGGAGGAAAGCAAATGGCAGGCACAAAGCGTTTCCAAGCGCTGACTCGGCCCTCATCTGTGCCAGGATGGAAAATATCAACAAGAGTCTCATTTTCTGTGCCAGCTTGCACTTGATGTGTTTTTATGAAGGAAGGCAACAAGAAACCTCTGGAAATTTCTGGAAAACAAATCTATCGGAGGAATATCACTGTATTGCCACAGTTTATTTATTACATGTTGTAAATAGAATAATGTTGACATTAGGCTGTTTTTAACGGTTTGCAGTAGTAACTGTAGTCCCTGCTAGTTAAACTGGAGTTACGTATGTTAGTGCTGTTTGTTATAGTTTCCAGGTTTGGGTAACGGCTGTTCCCAATCCTAGAATTCAGATGACCCCTGACTGAAGGTAGGTCAACCAAGGCTCTAACCACAGCCTAAATTAGTGTTACAAAAAGCTGTTCCAACCAGCTGCTTCTTAAAGGGACTTCATTAACCTGATTACTTCTACATAATATGAATGCTTTTACCAGATAGTCAAGTGCCAAATTTGTCTTGACTGGTTCAATTTTGGAACAGGTTTTCTCCTACAGTTTGACGTCCTTCAGGAGTTGCTAACACAGTGGCAGTGTTAGGTGAAGATGCTGTCTACAAGGTAGATTACTATACTGTTTGATACTCAAAACATTTCTTTTGTTTAAAGCAGAAAATACTAAATTATATATTTTAAGAGTTAGGTATAAAAAGTACTTTTGCTTTTTCGAAGATGTAAATGATTCAAGTTTATAGTTCTCTTTGACCTTTAGAAATCAAGTTTTTACGCACTGCTTTCTCTTGCTTACGGTGGATGATACTGTGACTCTTTGAGTCCCTGTTGACATAGTGCAAGTTACATAGGGTAAAGAAAAACAAAACAAAACGAGCATTGAAATCCAAACCTGAGAATTAACAAGGGTTTAAGTATTTTCTGTTGTGCAATATTTTAAGGGAAACAACTGCCTTTGGGCAAATGCGGTCATAGCTCCTGGGTTAAGTCTGAGTAAATAAACACATTGATTTATCTGAGCTTATCTTTTTGACTTTTATTTCACTTTGTCTCCTCGTTTCAAATCCCTTCTACCTTGATGCACACAATGTATTTGTGTCTTTAAAAAAAATCACTAACATTTTATAAAGCAAATGAGCTTTGGAGTTAAATTTTTGAAGGAGCAGTGGATGCCTAGCCCACAGCGCCCCTCAGTGGATGCAGCTGGCTCTGTCATTTTCTAATGCTCCCTCCTGTTGTTGGGCCATATGTGCATTTCATAAAAACATTCTTGGTTTCTTCAGACATATCAATTTTGCATCTTCACACGGGAACCACAAGTCTTCTGTGTTCAACACACACCCATTGATGATAAACAAAACATATGGCTACTTCAAAACAAACAGCGCAATGGGAAGGAAGGAGCTGTGATACCCTTGTTTATTTACATTGGCAGCAGCAGCCCTGAGCCAGGATAGCAGTCTGGCACAAGAGGCTGGCTGTACATAGTGCCTTCAGCTGGTCACACTTGCCACCTGAACGTTCCCCAAGACCTTTCCATGACGATGCAGCTCACAGTCACTCACTGAAATCTCTTGTGCTCGACATTTTGCTGAGAAGGAAAGTCATGCAACTCCCACAGCAAAGCCAGGCCCTTTTCATCTTCGCAGAAGGAGGGCAGTACCACCTCTGGGCCCCATGTCTAAACCCAAACAAGAGGCAGGGCAGTTCACAGGCTCACTCAGGTTTACTATGAAGGTGGCATTCTGTTTTCGTCTTAATTGCTAAATTTATTTCTTTGAAAGCCTCAGAGAGAGACAAAGAGATCTTGCTGGTTAGGGCTGTGTTAAAGCCAAGAGACAGGAACTCCATATGGGTCTTCCATGCGGGTGGCAAGCATCCAAGTAGTTGGGGCCATCCTCTGATGCATCCCAGGCACATCAGCACGGAGCAACCAGCACACAAACAATTCTGATGTAAGATGTTGCCTTCCCAAATGGAGGCTTAACCTGCAATGCCATGGCACCTGCCACTCCTCTTCCACATGCAATGCTATAGTTTGTGATCTGAAGGGGAAAACATGGCCATTCTTCACCTGGCCTGTGTGAAGAAGGCATGGATTTGCTGTGCCACTGCCTGTCCAACGACCGGCTCCAGTTCTGGGATGGAAGCATTACCCAGCTGTTGGAGAGTGGGGAACTTCTGGAGCAGCAGGGAAGCTTTAACTTTTCCAACTCCTGGGATCTGTTGCACAGTTCGAAGGAGGTAGGGCTCAGACAGCAGAGTCCGTTTCTTTCTGAGGAAAGGGTTCTTATTAGGCTCCTTGGCTTGCTCTTGAACCTGAATCAGAAATTAAAGCAAAAGCACATGAGTGCCCTCTGGAGGCACTTAATATTTGCTTCAGTTTGACCCAAGTGTCTTAAGGCAGATTTCAATGAGCTGAATGGCTACAAAAGTTCTTATATACCAAGTTTTCAGTCATCAGCAAGAATAATGAAAGATGATCCATGCGACTATAGAGAATAACACAAAGACTGGTGATAAAAAAAAAATTTTGAAAATCCAAGTCTTTAGAATGTTTTATTCTAAATTACTCCTGAGGGATCCAAACACTCCTATGGGCCATTCTAGAAATGCAGGATAAATGAGAATACCTGAACTAGATCTGCTTTATATAGGACCTGCCAGAACTTGCCAAGCAAAGGAGAAACTGCTTTCAGTGAGTGGTCATAACAAGAATGGTAACACTATTTTATGGAAGGGCATTAGGATCAGCGAAGCAAGAGGTAAGGTGGTGAAGGAACCATGAACCACACAGGGCTGCATGCATCTCCAATTTGTTTCCAACTCAAGCTGCACAGCAGAGGGGAAAATTTAAAACATACAAAAAACAACAAAAAAACCAAATGCCCGGGCTGTCCCTAACTCTTCCCCTCTTCCGAGTTTTAATTGATCAGAAATAAGACTCATCTATGTTTTTTTAAAGCTCCCAAGGAAATCCTAATACACAATGCAGTTGAAGAACTCAGAGCATCAGACGGACAACTTGGTGTGTTGTTAAAGTAACACTGAGAGAAACCTGTTCATGGATGCATAGTGAAGGATGTGTGGGGAGGAGGCAAAGCAGCTGCCAGGTGGCATGTTTAGCAGCAGGACGGTGACTGAGGGGTGTTGCCGGGTGACAGCTTCACCAGCAGGATGGTAACTGACGTAATCCGATGGGTGCAGATGTGTGGGAGTTTAAATCAGGTTGTCAACTGGTTGGCTTTGTGACACAACTGCCTCACGTGGGGGCATGCTCAGCCAGCCAGAGAACTAAAATTCCTCAAAATAGTTTTAGACACTAACCCAGTGGATGGCATGGATGGATGGGTTGCAATGGGAGAAGGGACTGCTGCTGGCATACTGGTGAGCTGGGTCTCCAGGAGCAGGGACCGGTACTTACTAACTGGACAATGAGGCAGGAGGCTTCCAGCTGGCTGGCCACCGGGAGCAACACCATCCCAAGGTCCAGCACCGTGAACTTCTGTACGGCCGGGAAGTATTGTTCACTCATCGGTGTCTTCTCAACTATCACAATCCCTTTTAGGTTACTGCACTGCAAAAAAACAAAACAAAACAGAGTGGGCCCCTTTATAACAAAATCCCTTCAAGGTGGGGAAAGTTATGGTTTGGGATTGGCCAGGGGTTTCCTATCATTCCAAGGAGGAGGGATACAAGGGAATGTTCCAGTTCTTTCGTCCCCTACTTACGTTTCTAACCCGAACAAGCCTCTTTCTGTAGCTGTTTCCTGCCACCAAATCAGCTTCGGTGATATAAAGGATGCCAGCTCTGTTAGAGAGGTAAAAATCTACCGGCGCCACGCCATCCTCAAACACGAGCTTAATTTTCCCTTAAAACACACAGGACAGAAAATAAGTTTGGACGTGAAAGGTGCCAGCAGTACGCTTCGGTGTGGGGACGGAGAGGGGCGGGGGCTCACCTTGTATCTCCTGCGCCAGCTGCGACCCCCGCCATTTCTCACTGGCTACGACATATCCAAAAGGCACGTGCACAGCACCCGCACCTTCGGGGGCGTTCCCTTGCATCGGTGGTCTCGATCTGAGGAGGGCAACGCAGACGGCACTGGAGCTTGGCTTGCCTTTCGCAGCCCCGCGTGCCATTAAAAGCCCGAATGTTCAGTGTCCCCTCCACGCTTGAACAATCGGCCCAAGTGTAAGGACCAACGAATCCCCGTCCCGCTGTCCGCGTGTCTCCCTTCTGTCACTTGCTTGGCCCGCGCCTCTGCTCTTCATGCCTGTCCGAAACCGGGTGGGAGCCGCCATAGCATCCTCCTCAGCTGCAGCCTGGGGGCTCCCTGACTACCCGAGGAGGCGTCACTTCCGGGATACGTCAGCCGCCCTCGCCCGCTCCCGCCCGCCCTCCGCCCTCACCAGCGTGGGATAGGCTGTGCTGTCAGAGAGGGACACCCGAACTGGCCAATGAGAGGCCCGACAGCTCAGCCTCCGCTTCCACACTGGTGGAATTTGAATGGAAAAACTCGCCGGTTGCCACGGGTGACGGGGTGTGGAAGTAATCCTGGAGCTGATTGGTTCAGGAGGAAAGAGAGCCATTGGCCGTAGAGGTTTTTGCGAGGTCCGCTGCCAAGAAAGAGCGTCTGGAACTTGGCCAGAGGGAGCGGTCCGGGCTGTGGAGAAATCTGCTTGTAGGTTCAGCCAGGAGCTAGCTTATCTCCCCCTCGGCAGCAAGGATGCTCCTGGGATTTCGGAGGGGCCACAAGGATCAGTTCGTGAGTAAACCTCGCTCGTGGTGCCGGGCGCTGAGGCGTGAGGGGGCTGGATAGGACTAGGTGGGACTTGGCTCGTGACTGAGGCAAGGCGGCGGTTCGGAAAGTTTTCGGTTCGGGATGCCCTGGGTTTTCGTGTCTGTTCGTTCCGGTGCCGGGGAGTTCTCGGCCGCTCGCACTGTTGCATCTCCCGGTGGGAGAGCAGTGCGTGGTTCCTCCGCCACGCCACATTCACTCCTCTAGCAACACCTCCCAGTTCAGATGCACGGGCCCGCCCCACCTGCGCCGGCAGCGCCTTACTGCTTAGCGCACCTCACTGGTTCCTCTGCTCTCATTCTGATCTTCCGCTCTTCACGCAGCACCAAAATGCAGCTGTGAGTGTGTGCATCAACACTCAGTGTCACCGGTGCCACCTCCACCGCGCACGGGCTCCCCAGCCACCTGTTCTGTTCCTTCTGTCTTCGTGGCCAATGAGTACTGCAGAATTTATGCACCCCCATCTCATCTCTGACCCCCTGTGCTTTCCTGCTCTGTGCGGGCCCTGACTCCAATAATCCCGTGAAACACCCCCTCCCGTCTCTCCTCTACTACCCACTGATCCTGCCCAGCTTTAACCAACCATCAGCTCCTTACATCTCTGCTTTGCATCTCTGAAGTGCCCCCGATCTGGCCATCATTGTCATCGCTCTGCAAATACAGAGTCACCACTGTGTTAAAGACAGTTCTGAACTGCATTTTTAAGCCAGGCCAGAGAGCAGGTGCTTCGTTTTTACAGTGGGCATCATTGGAGGCAGGTGGATATAGAGAACCAGTGAAAACATAGCTGAAACCTGTTTTTGCACTAGAATTTTGCTGATGGAAGCCAGTACATTTATTGGGTTCTTATTCAGAGCAATAAACATGATGCTGCGTTCTTATTTTCTAAGATTTATTTGTTTGAAAGGTAGAGTTACAGGCAGGACTGGGGAGGGGCAGAGAGAAATTTTCTGTCCAGCAGTTCACTCCCCAAATGGCATAATGGCCAGAGCTGATCCAGTCCAAAGCCAGGAGTTTCTTTTGGTTCTCTCATGTACGTGCAGGGATCCAAGGACTTGGGCTGTCCTCCACTGCTTTCCCAGGCACATTATCGGGGAGCTGGATGGGAAATGAAATAGCCAGGACCTGAGCATTCTGGCACCTCAGGTACGACGTAACCCCATGGCCTAGTGCCTGCCCTGTAATGCTGCGTTCTTTTGCTTTGCATGGATACGCACACTAACTGACAGCCCATGAATACAGATGCTCTTTAACTGTCAGATTATAGGCCACCAATTGGCAGTATCATCAGCTAATAATGCCTCATTACATCTAACCTGTTGAACACTGCAGCTTGGCAACACAGCACACAGTAGAGCATCCCTTGGGTATCCTCAAGACCACGTGGCTGGGAACTGTGGCTTGTGGCTGCCGCCCAAGACCTGCAGCAATGATCTCACAACATTTGTTAACCTGGAAAAAGATTAAAACTCAGGATTTGAAGTACTGCTTCTACTGCATGTGGGTTGCCTTTACACCACTATTTAGTTGAGAAAACACAGGGCAGAAACTTCTAGTGGTTAAGATGCCCAGGTCCCACAGCGGAACGCATGAATTGAAGGCACCAACCTGATGCTAACATAAACCCTGGGAGATGGCAGTGATGGCCAAATTAATCATTTTACTTCAAAGCTACACTGAAAGGAAAATTGTGAGTTGAACCATTGTAAACTAGTTCTGTCTGTAATCGTTGAAGATCTGGTGCTTCGAGAGTGTGCAAGAGAACTGCAGGTGGAGAGGACCTGAAGGTTGGGAAGTGGTAGGCAGCTCTGAATGCTAAAGCATGGAGGTATGTGTAGGAAGAAAGAGCAGGTAGCAAGAGATCAATCTGGATCCATTGGTAGGGACTGGCTAGCTGAGGCCTTCCATGCCGTGCTGACTGCTTACCTGTCATCAGAGGAGTGGTGCTGCTCTCTCTGAATCAAAGCCTTTCTATAATAGAATGCTCCTCAGCCCACGGTTCTATCCGCCCATCCCAGGTATGTCTGTACTCCAGCCAACTGGAGGACTCGTAGTTTCCATGGGCACCACCGCCCATGTCTGGTTCCATTCTTTTGTGCTTGTTAGTTCCCCTTCCATCATGTGTCCAAACAGGAGAGTGTCTTTGAAGGCCCCCATCTAAATACCTCTAGCGTTTCCTCCAAGCAGAATGTTGGAAGTCCACTTTGGCTTTTGTTTTGACCTCTCCTTTGGCACTTCCTGCAATCCTGGGCTCTGTTCAGGTGATTTCCCACTGTACCCACCCCCAGGAGGGGAACAAGCTCTCAAGGCATTCTGCCAAAAAATGAAGATTACGTTAAGCCTCCAACACTTCTGTGGCCCTCCGTCCCACCAGTTACCCGAGGCAGCGTGCTCTGACATCCGTTATTTATAGGAGCTGGTTTTTGTTGATCTATGTTTGGGAGAAGTCTGATTAAATCTGCTGGGCATGGGTGAAGGTGCCCAGGGGTAGAGTTTGAGGGCTGGTAGTGTAAAAAAGTCGCCTGCTTTTCAGAAAGTTTCCCTGTCCTGAAGAGGGAGGTATAACAGGAGAGACATCACTGGGGACAGAGCTGTGGGATGGGTGGACCGGCTAGAGTGCGACTCCCTGGCAGTGCTCAGGGAAGCTGTTCTAGGCATGGAGTGCCAAGAGGAGCCCCACTGTGGGTAGGGTAGCTAAGGTGCTGCCCACCTGCCAGGGCTCTACACTTGTTTGGCCAGGTGGGGATTGAGGCTGTGAGGGAAGAGTGGGTCTCCTGATGGGAACTGGATCCCTGGATCCCTGGTGGTCTGTTCCGGTGTCTCTGGCCAAGCCCTGGGGGAGGGGTAGTGCTGAGAGGGTCCAGGTGATTCCTTTCCGTCCCAGTGACCTTTGCTGGATTTCATTTTTCAGAAACACATCGTCCATGGCCTTCTCCCTGCAGCTAGCATCGCCCCAAAGCCGGCTGTGCCCCGCACACCTCCTCCCCGCAGTCCCAATGTGTCTCCGGAGAGACCAAGGTGAGTCCCAGTGGAGCTGCTCTGAGGGCCGGCCCTGTGCCCAGCCGCCAGGTCCTAGATCCGGAGAAGGGTTCCAGCCAGCCAGTGGCCAGTTAGGACAGTTAGAATCCCATGCTTTGGATTCTGAAGCATGGGCCTGTGATGTATGCCTCCATTCGTATGATGTGGACATGTTGTATAAGTGAATGCAATTCGTATTTTTCAGAATGTGAGTCAGTCAAGCCCAAATGTTCGGGTTAATAATAGTTCAAAGTGAATTTTGGGTTTCTGTGCATCATTTTCTTTACGTATGGACCATGTCTTTTTCTTTTTATTTGATTTCTTTTTATCTAAAAGGTAGATCAGAGTTAGAGATGAGGACAGAGGGTTCACTCCCCAAATGACCACAGTAGCCGGAGCTGAGCCAATGCAGAGTCAGGAGCCCAGAGCTTCTTCCAGCTCTCCTGTGCGGGTGCAGGGTCCCAAGGACTTGGGTCATTTTCAGTTACTTTCCCAGGCCACAAACAAGGAGCTGGGGTATGAACCAGTGCCCACATGGGATCCTGGTGGATGCAATGTGACAACTTAGCCATTCATTGAGCCATCGTGCTAGGCTCAAGCCTGTCCTTTCACTGCTACACCCATGATTCCCCTTCCTCTGGTGCTCCCATCACACCTCACATTCCTGGATGTACCTGAGAAGCCTGCTGTGTCCACCAAGATTTCAGACACACAATTTCAGGCTTTTTAAAATGTAGTAAATATTAAGAGAGCGGCAGACATTTGGCCTATGGGTTAAGACTCTGCACATCCCGTGTTGAAGTCGCTGGGTTTAATTCCCAGCTCTGGCTCTTGACTCCAGCTTCCTGCCAGTGTGGACCTCGGAAGGCAGTGGTGATGGCTCAGTAACAGCTTCCTGCTGCCCCCGTTGGGGGACATCTAGATTACACTACCTGGTCCCCACAAAAGTTGCTGACTTTTAGGGAGTGAACTAGCATTTGGGAATTCTCTCTCTGCTTGTGAAATAAATAAACATGGACACTTCACAGTGAATGAGAACTAACTTCAGCCAAGGGTATTATCTCCTTGTCAGTGTGGTTTGGTGCTGGAATCTTGTCCGCCTTCGGATAACAAACAGTCTGAGACATTTTAGTGTTGGTCTTTTGCTTCACTGCAACCTTGGTAACGAATAGCTGTTTAGGAATGTTTATTTTGTGTGAAGGACTCTGGAAAGTGTTTTTTTTTTTTTTTTAAACAAAACATTGTGTTTTTTTGGGACCCATGGGAGAAGTCCTCTCAAGCGTTGGTAGCCACTGCACAGTGTCAAGGCTGGCTGGACCAGTGGCCTTGCTGTGACACGGATGTCATTCTCTCCAGCAATTCAGTGTTTGTGTGAGCAACTTTTTGTGTTTCTAGATTTATTTACTTATTTGTTTGAAAGGCAGAATAATGGAGAGAAGGAGATAGAGAGTGATGGATTTTCTGTTCACTGGTTCATTTGCCCGTTGGCTGCAACAGCCAGTTCTGAGCCAGGCTCAAGCCGGGGGCGAGGAACGCCTTCCCGGTCTCCCGCATGCTTCATGTTCCACCACTCTCCTAGGCGCTTTACCAGGGGGCAGGTTTGGGAGCAGAGCAACTGGGACTCAGACTGGTGCTCCAGTCTGAGATGCTGATTTTATACGCAGTGGCTTCACCCACTGCCTTCCTACACTGGCTTCTACTGTTGTCTTAGATTTTAACTTTGCATATTGGAACTCTACCATATGTTATTAAGCAGTTTGTGCTTTAGGTGTTAGTTATCTAAAAGTAGTTTTGGTGAGGTAGAATATGCATAATACAGTGTGTGTTTAAAAAGCTTAATTTGGTACATTTTGACAGAGGTTTATACCTGTGAAAGCATGCTCACGTTCAAGATTGTAGGTGTGTCCATCACTCCCAAGAGATTTCTTGTGCCTTTTTTTTTTTTTTGCAGTTTCTCTATTACACTTCTCTGTCATCTCATATTCCCTTGTTTTCTGTCCTTATACACCAGTTTGTATTTTTTAGAATTTTATTTTATTATTATTTTTTAAAGATTTATTTGGAGCCTGGCACAGCAGCCTAGTGGCTAAAGTCCTTGCATTGAACACACTGGGATCCCATATGGATGCCGGTTCTAATCCTGGCAGCCCTGCTTCCCATCCAGCTCCCTGCTTGTGGCCTGGGAAAGCAGTTGAAGATGGCCCAAAGTCTTGGGACTCTGCACCCGCGTGGGAGACCCGGAAGAAGTTCCTGGCTCCTGGCTTTGGATCGGCACAGCATCGGCCATTGCGGTCACTTGGGGAGTGAATCATCAGACGGAAGATCTTCCTCTTTGTCTCTCCTCCTCTCTGTATATCTGACTTTGCAATAAAATAAATAAATCTTTTTTTTTTTTAAATAAATAAATCTTAAAAAAAGATTTATTTGATTTTTATTGGAAAGTGAGATATACAGAGAGGAAGCTGTTCTCTATGCTGATTCACTCCCCAATTAGCCACAATGGCCAGAACTGCGCCAATGCCAAGCCAGGAGCCCAGAACCTCTTCCAGGTCTCCCACATGGGTGCAGGGTCCCAAGGCTTTGGGCCTTTCTTGACTGCTTTCCCAGGCCACAGGCTGGGAGCTGGATGGGAAGCATGGCTGCTGGGATTAGAACTGGTACCCATATGGGATCCTAGATGTGTGCAGGGGATCCGCTTTAGGCGCTAGGCTACCTCGCTGGACCCTAGAATATTATATGCATGGAATTGAAATAATTAATTCTGCAGCCTGCATTGTGGTGCAGCTGGTTAAATCACCCCTTGTAACACCAGCATCCCATGTTGGAGTGCTGGTTCAAGACCCAGCTGTTGTGTTTTGATCCAGCTTTATGATTGCGTGCCTGGAAAGACAGTGAATGATGTGGCTACAGTCCCTGGGCCCTTGGCAGCCATGGAGAGGCCTGGACGGAATTTCTGGATACTGGTTTTGGCCTGGCTGTTGCAGCCATTTAAGATGAAAGATGAAAGCAGTCGAAAGATCCACTCTTTTCCTCTCTCCATCTCCCTCCTCTCCCTCCACATCCCTTCTCCCTGTCGCTCTTTCAAATAAATAAATCTTTCAATAAAGATTATTGCAGATTTTTTTCACTCAACATAATCCATATTGTGAAAGTCCATACCTCATCCGTTTTATTGCTTAATAATATTCCTTTATATGATATGCTGTAATTTACATATCCATTCTCTTTTTGATAAATGTTTGGATTGCATTTAACTTTTGGTTAATTTTCATGAACATGCACACACAAATCTTTGAATGTATGCTTCTGTTTGTCTTTGGTAAATGTCTGAGAATGAAATATTTGGAGTAATACATTACATCATTTATTAAGGAATTGATGAACTGTATCCCAGAGTTGCTGATGTATTTATGTTTGCACCAGCAGTATGAATTACAGTAATTTCATATCTTCACTGGCACTTTGGGGATTCTGTGGGTGTGGGTGTGGGGGTCTGGGTGCGTGTGTGTGTGGGGGGGATGTTGTTAACTGTTAACCCCAACCAACCCAGAAGCCCCAGGAACTGCCCTGCTCATGGTCCCACCTCTTTACTCTGAAGCTAATATAGGCTCAGTGGAAACACTTGATACTTCCCTTCTCCCTAAGTTCATGAAAATATTCTCAGGTGTAGATCTGGACATGTGTCCATCTGAGCCATCCGTAATGACTTCAAGAACCCTCAGGCTCAAGAGTTCTAGATTCCTGTGGGTCATGTTTTCCAGGCCCCTCGCCTTGGTTATCTTTCATTGGATGTAACATGTTATGCGTTTCACCTTGCTAAGGGCTGGAAGTTTTGTTTCGTTTTGTTTTGTAATCTTCTTGAACTTTGTTCTGGGATGTAGTTAAAATAACCTGGAAAGCTCTTGATCATCCAAGTGTTGCCCTTAGGATCGGTTCCTCTGGAACCCCAAAGCAGTGCTCAGCTCAGGCTAACTGTTCCGCAGAGCTGAGGCTGCGCCCTGCTGAGCACCGTGCTGTGAATGACAGCTCCTAACAGCTCTGTCCGACGGCAACAGACCCTGTCCAGCCCCATGTAAGCACCTGTTCCCTCGACTCCTTTTGGATGTTTTTTCCTCCGAACTCGGATCTTTTCCTCAGATGCATGCATTAAGGATTGTTCTGCTGAAAAGCCACGGGAGCCTGCTGTGGCTCTCCCAGGTTCTAGCACCGATCCCCTCTTTCCGGGACTGCTTCCTGCGTATCCTGTCTGCCTTGGTGTCCCCCGGCTCTGTTCTGTCTCTGCATCACAGAGAGCCCTCCTGGCTCCGCTTCAGTCCCCGCTTTATGCTCTGACTTGGAAATTCTCCCAGGCAGTTAGAGTGCTTGATTATATTTGTGTGTGTGTGTGTGTGTGTGTGTGTGTGTGTGTGTGTGTGTGTGTGTGCGCGCGCGTGTGTTTTAATTAGACAGAAAGGCAGATATACAGAGAGGAAGATCTTCCATCCATTGATTCGCTCCCCAAGTGGCCGCAACGGCCGGAGTTGTGCTGATCTGAAGCCAGGAGCCTCCTCCAGGTCTCCCAAGCAGGTGCAGGGTCCCAAGACTTTGGGCCGTCCTCGACTGCTTTTCCAAGGCACAAGCAGGGAGCTGGATGGGAAGCAGGGCTGCAGGGATTAGAACCAGTGCCCATATGGGATCCTGGTATGTGTAAGGCGCAGACTTTAGCCACTAAGGTGAGGATGTAGGTCCCACTAAGAAGTTTCTTGAACATGAGGGAATGGAGTGACTTAGATGCTGAGGAGGGAGGGAAAGACTACTGCTCCAGGCCCTTGTGTTTTTTCTTTTTAGACAAGAGAGTTGATCTCTTGCTTTGTCTTACCTTTTTTTTTTTTTTTGACAGTTATTTTATTTGTTTAAAAGAAAGAGTTAGGGCCTGGCGGCGTAGCCTAGCGGCTGAAGTCCTCACCTTGAACACGCTGGGATCCCATATGGGCGCTGGTTCTAATCCCGGCAGCTCCACTTCCCATCCAGCTCCCTGCTTGTGGTCTGGGAAAGCAGTCGAGGACGGCCCAAAGCCTTGGGACCCTGCACCAGCATGGGAAACCCGGAAGAAGTTCCTGGTTCCCGGCTTCGGATCGGCATAGCATCGGCCATTGCGGTCACTTGGGGAGTGAGTCAGCGGATGGAAGATCTTCCTCTCTGTCTCTCCTCCTCTCTGTATATCTGACTTTGCAATAAAAATAAATAAATCTTTAAAGAAAAAAAAAAAAAAGAAAAGAGAGAATGAGATGAACGAGCAGGATCTCTTAGCTGCTGGTTCACTCCCCAGATGGCTACAGTGGCTAGGACGGGGTTCGGCTGAGCCAGGAGCCAGAGCTTCTTCCAGGTCTCCCACAGGGATGCAGGGACTTAAGCACTTGAGGCAGCCTCTACTGCTTCCCCAGACATATTAACAGGGGACTAGACTGGAAATGGAGCACCTGGGATTTGAACCAGTGTTCAATATGGGATACTGGCCCCACAGGGGGCAGCTTAATCTTTTTTTTTTTTTGGTTTTAGAAAAATTTCAGGTGTTTTAAAAATGCCTTTTTAAATCTCTCCCCCCCACCCCCCCGTGCTGACCTTTCATTTTGATATAGTACATTGGGGTCTGATGACCTAAAATAGAGACCTGGTTCCTCCCCTATCAGGTAAGAAATCTTGCCAAGTTCTACGAAAAGAGGGATGACAGGAATATATCTTGATAGAATTGATGTGAGTACAGGAGTTGTCTGGTGGCGCCCAGACTGTGGGTACTGAGTTGGGAGGTGGTAGTAAACCCTAGAGGACAGAAGGCACCCCTCGAGCAATTACGGGGCTGAAGCCTTCCCCTGCGTCATTTCCTGCTTGGCTGGTGTCTCCACGGGCTGTTTCCGTCCGCAGGTCTGCTCTGGCTGCAGCCATCCTGGCCACAACATTGACCGGACAGACAGTCGCCATTCCTCAGCCTCGCCAGAGATCCCGGGGTAACAGCAACACAGTCTGTGCCGAAAAGGACAGCTACATCGAGCCCTACGCCACCCTCTCTGACCAGAGACTTCGGTAGGAATGAGACCTCGAGGGGAGAAGACGCAGCCCAGCATGGCCTCTGTGTGTGTGTGTGTGTGTGTGTGTGAGACGAGGGCTCAGGTTTTCCCCAGCAGCTGTCAAGGGCGCACTGCCCAGGGATGGTAATTGTCATGACTCTCGGGTCAGAGTTTTCTCTATAGCCACTTTTTTTTTTACCCCCAGTTATGACTCGTGTTAAAAGCACCGGTCCTTTCCATGGCAGGCGGAAGCCTGGGTCTAGGAGCTTCATCCAGGTCTCCTGTGTGGGTGGCAGGGCCCCAAGCACTTAGTCCATGTTCTGCTCTCCTAGACCATAGGTAGAAAGCTGAAGTGGGACATTTGGGACACACTGTGCCCTTCCGAGATGTTGGTATCACAGCTGGTGGCTTTACCTACTATGCCACATTCGGGCCCCCTAAAGCACCCGTACAGCCCTTCATTAACAGGAGTATTTATA